ATTTAATTTTATTTTTATTTTTTACTTTTTGGGTTTTAGTCTATAACAACAATTTAGTTGCCCTAATTTTAGTTTAACCTAAAAATTTCATCGTCTTACCACAAAAATATATAATTTCTCTTATTAACAAATTTTTTTTATCAGATTAAGAAAATTATTACTAATAAGATTCAAAACCAAGCACCTTAGAGTTAGATATTAATACTCCAACCACTAAACTCGTTAGAATTTTTTAATAAAAATTTACAAATAAATTATATTTATATACAAATAAATGTATATCACGTGTAAATATATAAATATAAAATATATAAATGCAAATATATTTATATATTTTGATATATTTATATATTTATATGTTCAATGTGAGAGTCACGCTAGAGGGTGAAAGTGTGTGTCGAGTGAGTTTTCAAAATTTTATGTCAAATTTGTGAGCGAGTCTCTTTATATGGATTTATAATTTAATGATATAATATAATCTTTATAATTTATTTATATAATGATATAAAATAATTGTTTTCTTTATTTATGTTTATTTTTATTTTATTTTAATTTATTTTTTTATCTTTTTTTTCTTCTATTATTTAATTAAAATTCTTATATTAAAATAATTTTTTCATTATTAAAAATAATTAAATATTTATTTTCAAAATTATTTTTTAAAATTATTTAATTTAACAAATTATTATGAATTAATCTATGTCTGGAAAAAATAATTATTAAAAGATGATTTTGATTAATTTATAATAATATATGTTAGGAAAAAAATTGTTCTATTAATAATCATAATTAGATTAATTTATAATAATTTGTTAAATTAAATAATTTTAAAAATAAATATTTAATTATTTTTAATATTGAAAAAATTATTTTAATATAAGAATTTTAATTAAATAATAGAAGAAAAAAATATAAGAAGAATAAATTAAAATAAAATAAAAATAAATAAAGAAAAAAATTATTTTATATCATTATATAAATAAATTATAAAGATTATATTGTGTCATTAAATTATAAACTCATATAAAGAGACCGCTCGAAATTTGACATCAAATTTTAAAAATCCACTCGACACACACTTTCACCCTTGAACGCGTCTTCACATCCAACATATATATATATATATATATATATATATATATATATTTGTATTTGTATTTATATATTTTATATTTATATATTTACACGGATATATATTTTTATTTGTATATAAATATAATTTATTTATAAACTATTATCAAAAAATCCTAGTAGCTTAGTAGTTAGAGTATCGGTCTCTAATTCTAAGGTACTCGGGTCGAATTCTGCTAGTGAGAATTCTTTCAATCTAATAATAATTCAAATTTCAACTAGATTAAGCTAGAACCCAAGATAGTGATCAAAGGACCAAATAATATATTGATTAAATAATAATTGAAATCCAGATTTAAGACTTCTAATGATCAAGTCAAATACAAAGCCCTAATAGTCAAACTCCTCTTCATCAAAGACATAGGAATAATAAGAATCAAATGCTAAAGCAACTCCCAACTCATGGTCGGACACCTATCGAGGACCTTTTAAGTCAAAGATTCATTGCTTTTTCATTATTATCATCATGTGTCCTATTACTAACAAAGTTTGAAGATGTACATGTGAAGCACATTTGTCACAAAGAAAACACATGAGTGATAGATATGGTATCAAAACTTGTGATCTCTAAAAGGGAATGTCAACATTGATAATCGTCTTTTTAACAATTGTTCACTTCTCCACGTTTATTGTACACTTTTATTAATAATTTATTTTTTTATATGCTATAATGTTCAAAAGATAAAGTCCATACATCATAAGGAACTTTAACAAATGAAACATATAATCTAAATCAGAATGACGATGAGGGCAAAGGTAGTTATTGAGGAGTTTTCAGGTGCGTAGTCTTCAAAGAAGCTTGTCCCAAATCTCCATATTTGCATATTTTTCATCGTCATCTCTGACCTCGATGATTTTGATAATGCAACAAATTATGAGTCCAATAAAAAAGAAATATGGGTCTCTCACCATCATAGATGAAGGAGTAACCACTAACCTCGTTTATAACTTACAAAAAAATCTTGAAGTTTTTGTACAAGGAAGCATATGGAGTAAAAAGTGTGGACACAAAGTGCTCAATTAGGAGAGCCAACATATCAAATCTCTCAACTGAGTACTATAATAACTCAGGAACAATTGAAGTGTTGATTTAAGGTGAAATGTATGACAGAGAACACGAAAAGAGAATCAAACATGAATGTCCAAGAATAATTAGAAATACATAAAAAAAATTGTCTATTAAATCCTTTTAATCATCATAAATGTTGTTAGGATGTTGACAATGACAAGACAATGTTGTCCATGCTTAGACTCTATAACACATTTTGGCTTTCCTACATAATACTTGACCATGTGTACTTTAAAAAAAAAGGTCAACTCAATTATACCCAATATGCTCCAACAACTAGTCTTAAACACATTCTGCATCAACATTATTCTCATCATTCCCACTATTTTCTTCGGTTTAATACATTGCAACTATCATGATCCGCGAATGACACAAATCATTTTGTTTCAAATCCAAAAATTGTGTTATCACTACTAAACTGACCATCTATAACCTTCATCTCAAATGACATCATTTGCCCACTCAATGACCATTTGGTGCAAAAGGAAGAAGTAAAGAGAATAAGACATGACTACCTTAATAGTAAATAAAAAAACAAATCTCATAAATTTTCTAGAGCAAATATTTCACAACAATAATGGGCCTAATGCCCTAATCCTCTTTTTATAAACAACTAAGGTAATGGAAAATGATGTGTTACATCCTTCATAATCGTTAAATCTTCCTAAATCTAACAACTAATAGAGCTTGACATTTCAAATCTATGAAACATCACACCCACATATATTCTAAATGTCAACACAATTTCATATTACTTCTAGAGGATTCTTCATCACCCCAACTCCTCAAGCCTGGGGATAGTGTATGATTATTATGTTGAAAGTATGAGTGTTCAAACCCAAACCAATCTAAAAATAAAATCAAAATTTAATACAAAAATATTAAAAATTGATTTTCTTTTGAATTGAAAATATTTAAAATCGATTAGTTCAATTTGATTTTCAGTTTGATAGTCGAGAACCAACCTAAACCAAAATTATAATTTATATTTCTAAAATTAAAATATAAAATGACACTAAGCTAATTAGTTTTTTTTATAATTTATAATAAATATTATTATTTTTAAATTAATCGTGAAATATATGAAAATAAAATAAAACTATGAATATCACAATTAATTATACATTATACTTTTATAACATGTTTCTCTATTGAATAATTATTTTATTATAATATGTTTAATAATTTTATAATAAAAAAATCACCCAAACCAAACCAAACCAATATTATAGTTTGGTTTGGTTCAAAACTTTTTAAAAATAAAATTAAACTAAACTAAACCACATCATGTACATCCGATGGCGGATCTTCTTGGGAGTCGAGGGAGGTCGTGACCCCCCAAAGTTTTATAACTCCCATGTAATTTATGATTTTGGCCCCCCTAAACTTAATAAACATTTAATATATTTACTTGTATATTTACAATTCTATCCTCTCAGCCCCTCCTCAATTTTGTAACCCCTATGTAATTTATGACTTTGTCCCCCTCAAACTTAATGATCATTTAATATATTTAAATATATATCTACAATTTTATCTTTTTACCCTTTCATCTTCTTTCTTCCTTTTATATTTATTTATTATTTATTAATAATATATTATTTGGCCCCCCCCAAGATCAATGGTCAAGATCTGCCACTTGTGTACATCCCTAATTAAAAGGAAGAATGACATACTTAAACAAATGTCATTATGTAGATATTAACCTAAAAAAAATATTTTCAAATAAATTAATATCATTATGTTTATAAAGACTCAACAAGATGAGGAAACTTTCTTGTAAAAAGTAGACTCTTTATCGATCTAATCCCTCAAACCTCAAGTAATCTATATGATTAATGTATTGAAAAAGTCGTTGACATACATATATGCAAAATTAAGTTAATAATGAAATTTTGAGTTAATTAAGTTAACATAATTAAATAATTATTTATACTAAATACTTAAGACCTTCTTAGACTACCATAGTCTAGTGATGTTGTGCCCAAAGTGTGTGAGTATCTCTAAAGTTCCACATTGGGTAGTTTGAAGAAGGGGAGTGATAGACTACTATTATAAATAAGGGGTGATAGTTTGAATCTACTCACCATAACAACACTAGTCTAACGGTGTATTGGGGACTTGAGTTATTGTGTGTCAATAGAGAGTTTGCAATTTTGTCCGTGTAAAAATTATATAAGAGGGTTTGCAATTTTGTCCTTGTAAAAATTACAAGTTGAGAAATAAAGAGTTGTTGAGTGAGGATGTAGGCAAGAAGTGTCGAACCTTATGTATTTGTTTTTCTATCTTTGTTTTTCTCGAGTGTGTGCTTCCACAAGTGAAGATTTCTTTTCCCCTCTGGTACCCAACAATGGTATCAGAGCCTGGTGTGGTAGGGCTCTGTGGAATTCTTAATTTTTAGTATGCTCTGTGGTTATAACATTATCTGATCTTTTACATCAGAAAAGAATTGAGGTTTTGTCTAAAGGAGAAAATTCTTAGTATGCTATGTGGTTATAACATTATCTGATCTTTCACATCAGAAAAGAATTGAGGTTTTGTCTAAAGGAGAAAAAGAAGCAGTACGTGAAGCAGTACGTGGAGCAGTACATGGGCTAAGAGCAGTGTGATGCTAGGTTCTGTCTAAAGAGGAAGAGAAGCAGTGTGCCTGAGAAGAGAGCCAGAGTAGTGCGATGCTAGGTTCTGTCTAAAGAGGAAGAGAAGCAGTGTGCCTGAGAAGAGGGTCAGAGCAGTGCGATGCTAGGTTCTATCCAAAGAGGAAGATAAGCAGTGTGCCTGAGAAGAGGGCCAGAGCAGTGCGATGCTAGGTTCTATTCAAAGAGGAAGAGAAGCAGTGTGCCTGAGAAGAGGGCTAGAGCAGTGCGATGTTAGGTTCTATCCAAAGAGGAAGAGAAGCAGTGTGCCTGAGAAGAGGGCCAGAGCAGTGCAGTGCTAGGTTCTATCTAAAGAGGAAGAGAAACAGTGTGTCTGAGAAGAGGGCCAGAGCAGTGCGATGCTAGGTTCTGTCTAAAGAGGAAGAGAAGCGGTGTGCTTGAGAAGTGGGCTAGAGCAGTGCGATGCTAGGTTCTATCCAAAGAGGAAGAGAAGCAATGTGCTTGAGAAGAGGGCCATAACAGTATGATGCTAGGTTCTGTCCAAAGAGGAAGAGAAGTAGTGTGCCTTAGAAGAAGAGTACATTACTACTAGCTGTCATGATAATGGATTAATGTGAGACTTTGGATAAAGGGAGGATATGCTGTGCCCAAAGTGTGTGAGTATCCTCCAAAGTCCCACATTAGGTAGTTTGAAGAAGGGGAGTGATAGACTATTACTATAAATAAGAGGTGATAGTTTGGGTCTACTAGTTGTCAAGAGATGATTTGCAATTTTTCTATGCAAAGATTGTACGAGAGTGTTTGCAAATTTGTCCTTGCAAAAATTGTATGAGAGAATTTGCAATTTTGTCCTTGTAACAAAAATTGCATGAGAGATTTTGCAATTTTTTCCTTGTAAAAATTACAAGTTGAGAAATAAAAAAGTTGTTGAATGTGGATGTAGACAAGAAGTTGCTGAACCACGTTAATTTCTATATTTGTTTTTCAATCTTTGTTTCTCTCGTGTATGTTTTCGCAGATAAAGATTTCTTTTCCTCTTTGGTACCTAAAGGAAAAGATCTATTATATCTATTGATTTGATGTGATACTTGTTTTTCAAAATATATATTTAGGTTGTATTTAAATTGAAGAGTAGATTTGAGAGAATGAAAAAAAGAAAAAGAAATAAAAAAATGAAGTAATTTAGATTGAAAAAAAGAAAATAAAAAAGAAAAAGAAAAAAGCGGAAAAATGATAAAAAATAAAAATAATTTGATTAATTAAAATATTATTTTTAATAAATTTATTTATTATTTTAATATTTTTATTTAATTATTTATTATTATAACAATTAAAACATAAAAAAGAATATTTAAAAAAATTGAGACTGATTATTTAAAGAAACATAATCATCTATACTTTTTCTTTTTTTTTGGGACATGAAAGATGAAAAATAAAAGTTATTTTTTTTTTCTTTCTTCTATCTTATTTTCACATTTTCATTGCAAATCCTTTTTTCCCGTTTGTGTGTACCGGATGCAAACATGCTTTTAATTTTATAGACTAAAAAAAAAATAAAGTAAAATGAAATTTTGTGTTTTTTATTTTTATTTTTAAATTGAATAAAAAAACATAAATATAATGTATACATAATTTATTATATCTTTTATCAATTATATCATAAAAATTTTAAAAATAAATATTTTTTATTAAAAAATAATAATATAAATGATTTAGAAATAATCGATAAAATTATTAATAAATAAATAGATTTATTTTATTCTTTATTTATTTTCTCTAATTTCTATTTGTTTATATATTTTTTTCTTTAATTTCTCTAAAATTTACTTTTCATTAACAGTCCCTTTCTTTCGTACTTTTTCCGCTCTCCATTATCCATCCGTGTACATCTCGATATTTAAAAAATAAATTGTGTCGTCGACGTAGTTTTTTAACCTCCACGCCCTGTGACTATTTGTTAAATCCATTGAACCTGGAACATTTTTTGAATGAAAAGAATCCGTTGCTCAATTTAAATCATGGTTTGAAATGAAGAAAACATGTTACTCAATTTCAATCATTGCCCTAATAATTTTTTTTTCTTTAGTGTAGGGGTAAGTTTCCGGACATAAATATTCATTGTAAAACAATAATTTTAATTTTTTCTTTTATGAAGAAGCCTGTTGAAAAATCTCTACTTATAATATGGTAAATAAAAAGATATAGAATGAATGGGGCATGTGAAGCAATGTTGTAAAGGATAATAAATAGGGGAAAAAGAATAAAAGGTAGTTATGTTATCTTAATTTTGTCGAAAAACTGGATGGGGTGGTGGAGCCCTTGCACAGTGTATGCGGACAAGAAAAGGCTGCCGCTATTGGTAGTGCTCATAACCTTTACAGACAACAACCATGACGACAATAGGTTCCGAGTGTCGGTCGCACATAATATATCATTTTATTTTATGTTTATATTATTTTCAAAATTTTACATCTTAAAATTACACCAAAATACTTCGTTTGAGAAAATAATATATTTGTTTCTAAGTCCTATAGATTAAAATTTATTAAAATATTATATATATATAAATATATTATTTAGAAATGAAAGTATTTATCCTATATTATTATATAATTATTATGATATTATTATTATTATTATTATTATTATTAATTTTTATATTTAAGATATTATTTATTTTAAATTTTTAATTTATCATAATATATATAAATAAATGTTTATGTAAATTAAAGAAAATTAATACTTATTCCTATTGAAATATTTCCTTTAAAATATTAATTTGATTATGTTTTTAAAAAATATATCAATAATTAAAAAAATAAATTTTTTTTTATTTCGAAAAAAGTATATTGATTATATGATAATAATAAAAAAATTATATATTATTTGTTTTGAATTTTCTTATTATAATTTTTTCTTTAAAAAATATATTTTTAATTAAATTATAAAAGACTAATAAAATACTAATTAACATATCACTGTAACAAATTTGGTGTACATAAAAAAAAAAAAAGAGTATATTATCAGATTGGATATAACTAATTTTACGTATTTTATTTAATTTAAAATACTTAACTTGATTTTATTTGGGAGTTTCAAATTTTAGATTTGGCAAACTTATTTATATAAAAAATTTTAAATAAAAATTTTTTTTATAGCTTCTGCAACTATCTAATGATCAAATTTGAAATTGTATAAATTGATAATAGATATTTTTTTTAATTCTAATTCAAGATATGAGCTAATTAGATATTTAAGAAAAAAATTTATTTTGCATATTAATTTATCTGGTCTAAGATATTTTCATCAAAATACATATGATTTAGTAATAAAATATGTACTGGTGTTTGAACATAGTGGAAAACAATAATGTAATTATGTAATGTTCTGTTAATAATATTTCTCTCTCTCTCTCTCTCTCTCTCTCTCTCTCTCTCTCTCTTTATATATATATATATATATATATATATATATATTAAAATTATATCTTAGTTCTTTAATATTTTCGTATTTTATTTTAATTTATATTTTCTTTAAATTTAAACTCTTAATTATAAAAGAAATGTATCTTTTCATAATTTTCAATTTACATATATTATATTCTTTCAACCAATTAAATTTTAAACTCAACATATTTTTTTGATATATAGAAATTATTAATTTATTCAAATATAAAATAAAAAACAAACATATGGAAAATTAAATATTAACTCAATTACTTTTTAATCTACTATTTATTAATTTTTAGCAGCTTATCTTTTCTAGACAATTTTTTAACAAGCTTCTTAATTTAAAAATATTTTATTAATGATAAATAAAATAACTAATAAAGTAAAATACAATTAAGCCCTTAACATTATACTTTCATTATACATTTTTAAAATACAATTAATATTACAGAAACAAATTCCAGATAAGAATTTAAAAAAATGAAAATAATTATGAAAAAAGATTAGCCTCTTCCTTTAAACCATATAGCACATCACAGTATGGTTCCCTCTTCCTTCTTTCTCTTTCTCTGGAAGTATTGAAGTTGCAGAGAGAAAATGGATTGAGAATCCTATCTCACTCTCTCTTTCTCTTCTTCTTCCACTTTCTTTTCGGTTCATTCAGGTACTTCCTCGTTTCTCTTTCATTTCATTTTTTTTAATTTTTTTTTTTGTGTGTTTTCTTCCCTCGGTTTAGATCGGCTTTGTTTATATGAGTAGAACGAGAATCAACGTTTTCCGTTCGATGTTCAGTTTTCGTTCAAGCGATTTCGTTGACATTGCACTCCAAAAGTACACTCGTTACATAGCTATAGAAGAATTTGGAGTTTTTTATTTTTTTTATTTTTTATTTTTCAAAATAAATTGAAGTAATTAATGTAAGAAAATTTAATTGGATTTTAATTTAACATAATTCTCTTGGTTGTTATCTTCTTTCATGCCTTAATTGTTGTGTAGGTATTTTGTGCTAATTTTGGTTCCTTCTCTCTTAAAGTAAAATCCTCGGTTTTTTTAGGGTTTATGTTATTGTGACTCAAAGGTTTGGATCCTGAACTATTTTCAGAAGCTTATTTTGTTTTCAAGACAGATTTCTATTTTTGGTTGTGTTCTTGGAAGCTTTAGTGATTATTCAAGCTGTTAGGGAGCTTGTAAATAAATGAATAATTGATAATTTGGTGAAGATTTTTCAAATAAGATGTTAAATTTAGTGAATCCTTACCTTAGTGAAGTTTGTGGTTCTTTTTGCCATGAAGAGTTGTCTATAATAGGATAATGCACAAGATTGTTCTTATTTTTTATTTTTTTACTATGCATACTGCTATTTTTAGCTATTAGATATTACATACGTAGAAGTTTGGTAATTGGTATTTAGTTTATTATTTTTCTTTTCAGCTTCTTTGCTATGGAAGACACGGATTCAGTTGCTACGCTGATAGATTCTACAACTTCCAAGATACAACAGCTGCAAAAGGCGTTTGCTGAACTTGAAAATTACCGTGCTGTTACTCTGAACTGGAAATGGAAAGAACTAGAGGAACATTTTCATGGTCTTGAAAAATCCTTGAAAAGGCGCTTTCATGAATTGGAAGACCAGGAAAAAGAGTTTGAGAACAAAACGAGGAAGGCTCGTGAAATACTGGAAAAGCGGCAAGCAGCTGTTTATGCCAAGGAGCAAGCCACGTTGCAGAGGCTTCAGGAGAAACGAGATGCTGCTGTATTTGATATTGTGACTGCTCGAGAAAAGCACAGGAAGGTTTCGTCAAATGAATTAGCTATTGTCTCTAATAGGGGTAATGGGACGCTGTGTGTGGAGGAGAAACCTGTAGATGCTGTGTCGTTTGTGGCTAAAGGTAATTTGGGAGATGTGGAACTTTCTCCTGAAAATGGAAAGGTGGAGTTGTCTTATCCAGAATTGCTAAAATTATGTAAAGAGATGGATGCTGCTGGACTTCACAAATTCATATCTGATAATCGCAAGAACCTTGCTGCTGTAAGGGAGGAAATACCACATGCATTAAGAGCTTCTCCTAACGCTGCCTGTTTAGTTTTAGATTCTCTGGAAGGATTTTACTGTACAGAAGTGTCAAATCAGGATGTAAAGAAGGATGCTAACTTATTGGGTCTTCGCCGAACATGTATCATGCTGATGGAATGTCTATGTGATTTCCTGAGCAACTCAAATAGTGTTTCTAATGTAATTTCAGAAGATATCAAGGACAGGGCAAAGGCAGTTGCTGAAGAATGGAAACCCAGATTGGATGCTCTTGACATGGATGCTAGCAATGGGAATTCCTTGGAGGCTCATGCATTTTTGCAACTTCTAGCCAGTTTTGGTATTGCATCTGGTTTTAATGAGGAGGAGTTATCCAGGCTAATTCCAATGGTATCCCGACGTCGGCAAACTGCTGATTTGTGCCGTTGTCTTGAGTTGTCAGAGAAGATGCCTGGTGTGTATTTATTCTTTACTTCCTACGTAGTGTTTGACAAGGATCAAAACCTCAAATAAAGAATCTCAGATTTTGAACAAAAATCTTATACAGCTCAATGCAAATCTTTTTAAGTTGACTTTTATTTTTTTATTCTGTATACTAAGCTTCCACATAATTATCTCATAGTTATATTTATTTTCTTTAAATATAAATTTGGATTTATATTATGAGCAAAGTGTCGCTTAGGTTTCTCTTTGGTGATAATAAATATGGCATCCAAAATCATCCATTAGTGACATGATTTTTCAAGAATTGATTGGAAGGGGGCGACCCAGTGCTGATTTATATCATTCATCATTTTAATAATTGATTTATTGTATTAGACCGATCTTCATGAATGAGCATGGTGGATGCTTCTTGTTAAATCATTGGAAGGAAATAAAAAGGAAACATGAAATTTTAATGAGTAACGACTCTTATGCTTTCATGAAAATGATTGAAGGTTCTCAAATGAGCTGCATTATTGTATGTTAAGATGTTCAAAGAAAATTAATGAATATGAATATCAATGTTGTATAAATTATCTTGTAAGAATTAAGAAAATCTCCAAAACTTATCACATTGCAAAATAAGCAGTGATGGACTTTAACAAGAGCAGACCTCACCTCAGTTTCTAAGCATCATCCCCAAAATGGCTTTTGACATGTATATTTTGAAGTAACTAAGCTATTTCATCTGTTTATTTTTATTTTGAATGATCAATTTGGCTTTTTTGTGTGCAGGTGTCATCGAAGTTTTGGTGAATAATGGGCGGCAAATTGATGCTGTTAACTTGGCATTTGCATTTGAGCTTACGGAACAATTTTCACCCATTCCTTTACTGAAGTCTTACTTGAAGGATGCTAGGAAAACTTCTTCTCCCGTCAAAAGTGTTAACTCATCTCCCACATCACAGGTAAGTTGTTGAGAATCTGTTTTACTGAGTAATTACTCTCTATGTTATTTCTTGTAATCATCCGAATTGGTGCTCTGAATGTGTGAGTTCTTCAGACTTTTATGCCCAGATTCTATTGTCTTAAATTTTGTAGTCATCGTGAAATTTTGAGCTTGGTAGTTACAAAGGAATCTGTATGTTTTTAGATTATAGTCAGAACATATTACAGATTACTAGTTGAGGTGCAATCTTATGTGTTATTACTCAATTTTACTGTGCTTCCATATTTGTTTATTTATTTGATTTGATTAGGAATTTGGATTAGGTTAATTGTTTAATTGAGGTGCAATATTTTGTGAAGTTACTAGATTACTTTCATGCATAAATGACTACAATATGTTACAAAAAGTTCAGGCAAATAAGATAAAAAAGGGGGCGACCCAGTGCTGACACTTACCTAACCCAGCAAGCAGAGAAAAGGTTTCCAAGATTTGAACTCACGACCTATGTCATAAAGCAGTATTATCATTGGTGCCCTGCGGGGAGGCTCACTCTCATAAATAGGCTCGGAAACTAGAAATATAAACTAGTATTTCAAATTTGAAACTTGGCATAGAATTTTGTGTCTATCAGATTATGGTTGCCAGCCTTTTTATGACTTATTTGGCCTTCAATTGATCTTCTACCCTTAGTTTTCTAATGCCCTTTCAGCTCCAATAATTCACATACCCCCATGTTCATTTGAAAAACCAGTTTCAGCCCAAATGGTTTACATATCTCCGTGTTGAAATTAATAGTTGTTTTGGACTATGCATCTTTGAATGCAAGAACGCATTTCTTGTTGCACTAGTTTTTAAATTTCAAACTCTGATTCCAACATTTTTGCCTCCATTTCCGTAAGACCATCTGCTGTATGTGGATATCATCAACTTTACAATCAGAGTGGCAACTTCCTCCCAGATGATGAATTTCCAAAAATCGTGTGTGATCTGTCTTCTTTTGAGAGTACCCTTGATTCTTTAAGGACTTGTATATCTCTCAAACCATGTCCTGGGTGACTGTTTTAAATGAGTATAGTACCAGAAATTTTCAGTTTTACATACTTTGGATCCATACCTTTGTCAAAACCGTATGGAGGCTCCATGTAGACTCTCTTCATGGGCTATTTAGGAATGCATTGTTGATATGTAACTGCTGCGGTGGCAATCCAGATTTGAAACAATCGAGAGAAGCACTAGCAGTATTAAATTTTTCTACAGGTGTGAAGGTTTGTGAGAATTGATAACTCATGGAATAAAACTCAGAGGTTGGGGTAGAATGGAGTATGCATGAAGGATTTTCTTGTAATTGCCTGAACATGTGACAGCAAGGGATAGAAAGTGATTGTGATTCTCTCATGATGGGCCTGTTTGGAAGTTTGAAAGTCCCATGATTTTTAAATCGTTTATTTTTATCACAGTGCTTTTAATCAACCCCAATGACATACTACAGGTTTGTTGGCCAAATAAGGCTATTGCTCCTGGTATGATGTCAGCTTAGAAATTGTTATTCATTTGTTCTCATGTTTTCTGTTGCCGCCTCTTTAGGGAATATTTTATTTGGTAATTTTGGAACTGTTTCCAAGGCCATTGGACTAGTTTTTTGTTGACTATCTTTACTGGTTTTGGTAGAACTGAAGAAGAAAACCATTCTTTTGTCGCATACTTTGTTGCATGTAGTTGGAGCATAATTTAATCATATTTAAGGAATTTTCTTTGGGTGAGTAATGTCTCAAGGATAATTTAGGTACTTGGTTTCTCTTCAGATATAACCATTCACGAATCTCCTCACTGAACATTCAATGATGGAAGAGACATTCACTGTCTTGGTCTGTGTGAGAGTTGAGTTGTGTCTATGCATGTACAATAGCATATTTTTGATGTCTCCATTAGGTCCGTATTTGTATGCTTGAAGATGTATATGCTTGATGTTTGATTTTAAACTTGTTTATGGGAATATATATGTGATATTCCTAATTTCTTGCTATTGTCTCAGATTGATGTTAATGAGCGAGAGCTGATTGCACTTAAGGCTGTAATTAAGTGCATTGAAGATCATAAACTTGATGACCAGTATCCTCTGGATCCTCTCCAGAAACGAGTGACCCAACTCGAGAAGGCGAAGGCTGACAAGAAAAGGGTAACTGAAGCAACAAAGCCTCAACCCAAGAGACCTCGTGCCAACGGTGCGGGATATGGTCCACGTGTCACTAACTTTCCATCTGACAAAACTTCGTATGCTAGAGTTGCTGACAGGTATCCTCAATATGTGTATGACCGATCTTACATGTACCCTGGACCAACTGACAATCACTGCCCCCCTCTCATGGGTTCTGCAACTTACAACATCTCTCCCAGTCCTGTCAACTACTTTGGGAATGGTTATCAGTACCAAGCTACATATCTCCACTAGTTAGCATCCAGAGATGGTGACCGGATGACCAAGACCCCCTTTGTTTTATATTTAGTCTTAAGTCTTAACCCTTAAGCTGTTGTATGTTGCACTTTATCTATGTAGTTTTAAGAATCTCTGAAACAGATAAAATGTCATGTTAAAATTTAACATCTGTACTAGAAGATATTCTGATCCTCTAATGTATGCACTTTGTATATTTTCGTGTTTCTTAGATCTGTGATGGTCATTTGTCACTGCTTCTTGGGAGCTGTTCATGTTTTCTCTTCTCTGTAGAATCTAGGACCTTGTTATATAGACCCGTTAGGAAGTTAAGATTTATCAGAACCAGAGTCAAACTATTAGAATCATTTAAGAACAAGTAGAATAAGTTTTAACCAATCCAATTATAGAAATATAGAAATCTAGAAAGACATGGATCTAGAAAAAGAGGATTTATCCACTTTTATACACATCACGAAATATTTTCTTTCTGTGTAACAGATGAATTTCTAAAAGGAAAATTTTATTTTGATAATCGCTTTTTACACAAATATCTATCTTCCAACTTTGCTTCCTTTTGCAAATCTTATTATAATAATATTATTTATTATTTTATTATTTATTGTGGTTATTGAAAGAAGTTGTTGGTTGTCAAAATATTACACTCTTTTATTTAATTGTCATTTTCAATTTTTTAGATAATATTAATTACTTTTTCATTAGTATATTTTAATCCTTATTTAATATTCAATTAGTTTATAGATATATTTATCATAATGTTAAACTAAAAATAAAATAAAATATTTCATAACTATTTGATTGAAATAAAAAGAATGAGAATGATTAATAATTGTTGCAGACATTCTTGAAACCTGAGAATATAAAATAAAACAAAAGCGTAACTGTATCAGCTTCCCAGAAGAATATATGTTTCTTAACTTGTCCAATACACCGTACCAACTTCTCTCACCAAACACTCCGCATTTTGGATGATTTTTATTTTTTACATCTACTCATATAGGTTAATTATACTTTTTATATATTTACTTCCTACACATATTTTAAAAATAAAATTATCACGAATTAAAACTTTAAATTACATCATACTTTAAACATAATAATCTATATATTATTAAGATATTAACGTAAAAATTAATATTAATGATATTATTATATTCATGAATATGATATTTTTAGATGAAACACTTTTTTTATATTTTTATTTTTAAATGTATCTTTATTTTTAAAATATTTATTATATTTAATATTTAATAAATGTATAAATTTAATTTTAAAATGATCACTAAACTATTAAATTAACAATATTAACATATAATTGTTAGACAAATAACATCTAGAAGGAGGTGAATAGATGCACAAATTAAAATAGATGTCAAATTAAAAATTTATTTGTGAGTCAATAATTTGTTTGAACACGGATAAAACGAAAGTGATAGTATAATCGATAAAAGAAAAAGAGATAAGGGAAAGAGAAGAACACACAATCATTTATACTTGGTTCCGGTATAGCTAACCCTACATCCACTTCCCATTCAACTCTAATCACAAAAGTGACTCCCAATTCACTATCTTTTAAATTCAGTTTACAAATTACAATCAACTCAACAGAGGAACCAGTACAAAATAAACTAATTCAAAAGACAATCACCTCCTTATAAACCCACTAAAGATGAACATCTCCCTAGAATCCCATTAGGAATGAACACCTCCTCTGAACAAATCAAAGGATGAAAAATACCTTCTTAAAATCTCACTAAGGATGAACACCTCCCTAGAATCACACTAGAGATGAACACCTCCCTGACAAAATCAAAGGGATGAAAACACTTCCTAAACTCACAAAGGATGAAGGAGTAAGATAAGAACAGTCACACCTGGGTAATGGAGACAACAAATTGTAGAAGCTTGTAGAATGTCAATCTCCAAAAACAAATGTGATTAACAATGAAAGCACAAAAGGAAGTAGAGAAGAAGATTTTCTCAGAAGATGTAAAATATCTTTATTGCCTTGCTCATAATTCTTTTCTCAAAACTGATTGAATGTAAATTGTATTTTCAAATTCTGTAATTGTGTGTTTTTTATTTTTCATCAAAACTTAATTAAATAACATCAGAAAATGATCGTTGGATATTAATATTTTCGTGAATAAAAATCAGGATATATTCAAAAACATTTATTCTTCAAAACAGATATATTTTTCAAATTTGAATTGCCATAATTGATTATGTTACCAGTATAATCAATTATGACAAAGAAAATCATTTTTTCATTTCTGATGCATCATAATTTATTATGACAGTGAAAAATATCATGTTATGAATTTTATCACACTTGTGCTTTGGAGACTTATGTATAATATTACTTCATCAACTTATACTTCATATCCAGTATTCTAAGACTCTATCTAGTCTTCAGGAATCATCTTGGACTTGCTTGAATCATCATCTTTATCAAAAACATATTTTGAGCATGTAAGGAAATGTTTCACATTGTCACCAATGTCTTAAATTCAGCTTGTCCTTAATTCATCTTGAATGGTGTTGACTTGAATGTAATTGACTTGAATCATCATCAAAATCATCTCTTGAGAATGTAAGGATATTTCCATCAATCTCCCCAGCATTGCTTTCAATAATTATCTTAATTATTTATTCCATAAGATATATTAATATCTATAATCATTATATCACATTTTAATTTAAAAACAAAATTTAAACGTGAAAATTAAATTAATATATTCATTAAATATAAAACATTGAATTTTAAATAAACACAAATTTCCATAAATTTAAATTAATTTAAATTATGTACATTAGTAATTTAATTTGATTGATTTTTTTTTATTAAATAGTTATATAATTTAAATATAAAAATATATTATAGTTTTAATTTATAATAATATAAAAAGATTTTATTTTGTAATCAATTTTTACATTATTTGAGAGAAAAATATAATTTATATTTATATTATATTTTTTTACTTATGGATTTTTTCAAATTTTGATCTTAAATATAAAATAGTAAATAAAAATAATAAAAGTGTCATTTATTTTTTATTTCTATTACAATTTTTTTATTCTCTTCTTATAAATCTATTTTCTATTTATTTGTTTCATATCATTCATAATTTTATAAACAAATATTTATATTTAAAAATCAATACATACATTAAATTTTAATAAATTAAAATAAATGAATTATATTTATAAATTATTGTATAAATATTAGAATTGAAATTATTAATTTTAGATAAAATATTGATTTGGTGTGAGAGAATATATATATATATATAATTTTTTTAATTTAAAATACTAATTTTAGAAGAAATAGAAAACAGTAGAAGAAAGAATAGTGAAGGAAGAGTGACAGAGACACAGTAACGTTTTGCGAGTCTATTAATTAAACAAACACTTCCACATATTCTTTTCTTCTTCTCCTCACTTCTCTCTCTCCTAGGGTTTCACGGTCTGTGTCAAAATGGATTGAGAATCTCTCTCTCTTTCTCACTATATTTTTTGTTTTCTTTCACGTCAATTAGGTAACTCTTCCTTTCTCTCTCTTTATATATGTATATTGTAAGTTATTTTGTTTTCTTGCTGTCGGTTTAGATCGGCTTTGTCTGCTTATGCGGAACAAGAATCCGCTTTCTCCGTTCGTCGATTGAGAGATTTTATAGGCATTGTGTTCCAAATCTGCTCTCGTAACTGCACTGTGGTGAATTATGTTAATTTTTTGTCATATTCTCAACTGAACTTGTGATATTTAGATTTTCAGTGTTGTCTTTCGATTATTATTTATTATTATTATTATTATTATTATTATTATTATTAAGTTGTCTGAAATTGCCTTGACTGATGAGTAGAAATGTTGTGCTGATATGCCCCTGTTTCCATTTTAGGGTTTCTGTTGGCGTGATTCTGAAGGTTTGGATCTGGATATCTGTGGTAAGGTTTTTAATATTTATTTTTTATTTCTGAAGGTTGTTTTAGTAACTAACTAAGCTGACAGACGAATTATAGAGAAATGGATAGTTAAGGATTCCGTGGAAGGTTAAATTTGATGGCAAAAATAGTGAAGTTGATTGAACTCGGATTTTGTTTTGAAACTTTAGCTGGATCTTTTTGAATGATGTAATAATGCTAGCTTGGTCCCGCCCTTTGTACTAAATGAAATGTCTGTGAGGGAAAATGTGCTATATTTTATTTTATTTTATTTTTTCTTTTTCAATTGTAGTGTTAACTTTAGCTGTAGAGTATTGCGATTATTGTGTAAGGAACTTGATGCTCTGCCGTGCAAATTACAGTTTACAGAGTGAAGTTAATGGTTAATGGTGGGCAATCTTCTAATAAGCTTTCAGGATTTATTTCCAGTAAATATGAAGCTGTTGAATGGGAATTGGACCACTATTCAGTTATTTCTTATCTCCAGAGAATCCTAATCCTAATGTGTAAATGCCATTGCAAAGTGGAACATAACTTTACTATGCTGATCAATTTTGTGTTCATACAAAAAATTTTCATTTCTAAATTTGTAAACAAACTTCCTTGAAAAATGAAATAAAATGCGTAGTTTCAGTTTTTATCTGTAAAAGCTTAAATCTTGGTCATATTTGCTTATTTTAAATATTCTCTAAAATTTGCTGAAACAACCAGTTATTTCTTCATAATAAGCTGAACTAAGCACAAACATTATTGAGGGAAATTTGGAGGAACACAAGTTATTAATTGCCAGTCTTCACTACAAAGTTTGTAAGCTACTTAGTTCTGAAACAAATGCTGTATAGGAAGTTAGAAACTTCAAACATACACCCTAAAATATCACTCAGGAACTGTGTTCAAAACATTGGCAAATACTCAACTCAGACATAAACCCTGTTTTAGGTAATTGATTCTACATTATAATATGCCTAAGTCAGTAGCTTCTCTCAACCTTTATCATTACAGTGATGTCCACAATGGCAACTTTTATCTGTTTGTTATTGTTTTGTTTTTCTTGCATCTAGATAATATGAATATTGTTTTTCTCATATGAATCATGACTATTCTCATTTCAAGATAATGAGTATTTTCATTGCTGGTATATGTTTAGTTCATACTGCTGCACATGGTTTGTATGTATGTAATTTTAAATTTGGTTTTTGTTTCATTATTTATCTTCAGCTTCTTTGCTATGGAAGACTCAGATTCAGTTGCTACATTGATGGATTCTACAACTTCTAAGATACAGCAGCTGCAGAAGGCATTTGCTGAACTTGAAAGTTATCGGGCTGTTACTCTCAACATGAAATGGAAGGAACTAGAGGAGCATTTCCATGGTCTTGAGAAATCCTTGAAAAGGCGCTTTCATGAATTAGAAGACCAAGAAAAAGAGTTCGAAAACAAGACAATGAAGGCTCGTGAACTGTTGGAGAAGCGGGAAGCAGCTGTTTTTGCCAAGGAGCAAGCTTCGCTCCAAGGGCTTCAAGAGAAAAGAGACGCTGCTGTATTTGCCATTGTAAATGCTCGAGAAAAGCACAGGAAGATTTCATCACGTGAATTGGCTGCTGTTTCAAATGGCTGTAAAGGAGGGATACCAGGTGTGGAAAAGAAACCTCTGGATACTTTGTCCACTGCTGCTGAGGGTAATTTAGAAGATGTAAAACTTCCTGAAAATGGAAATGTGGAGTTGATATCTTATCCAGAGTTGGTGAAACTTTGCAAAGAGATGGATGCTTCTGGAATTCACAAATTCATATCTGATAACCGTAAGAACCTTGCTGCTGTAAGGGAGGAAATACCAAATGCTTTAAGAGCTGCTCCTAATGCTGCCCGTTTAGTTTTAGATTCTCTGGAAGGATTTTACTCTACTGAAGTGTCAAATCAGGATGTAAAGAAGGATGCTAACTTATTGGGTCTTCGCCGAACTTGTATCATGCTGATGGAATGTCTCTGTGATTTCCTGAGCAACTCAAATTTTGTTTCTAATGTAATTTCAGAAGATATCAAGGACAGGGCAAAGGCAGTTGCTGAAGAATGGAAACCTAGATTGGATTCTCTTGACATGGATGCTAGTAATGGGAATTCCTTGGAGGCTCATGCTTTTTTACAACTTGTAGCTAGTTTTGGTATTGCCTCTGGTTTTGATGAGGAGGAGTTATCCAGATTGATTCCAATGGTCTCTCGACGTCGCCAAACTGCCGATTTATGTCGTTTCCTTGGGCTTTCAGATAAGATGTCTGGTGTGTATTTGATCTTTATAATGTTTGACATGAATTAAAACTTCATAAAAGCTATAAGAAATTTTGAATATTGAGCTATATTTATACGAGGAATAAGTTTTAATTATTCTGTTTATTCTATGCAAAAGTTTCTTTGATTGTATTTTGTATTATTTCTCTTCAGTATTTTTTTTGTTCCAATAACAAAGAGTTGTTTCCTTAATTTTCATTTTGTGGTTAATATGTTTTCTTTTTTAATTATTCAGTGCCTGTCAAAACTAATATATCAGTAACAGCAATTTTGTGAGTCCCTGTCTTCTTTGAATAATATCATTTTTTTTATACCCTGCTTGCTTGTTCTTGTTAAATTATTAAAAGAAAGTTAAGGGAAGCATGAATTATGATGAGTTGATGATTCATACTTTCCTGATGATGAATGAAGACAATTGAATGTTGTGTATTAGTATGCTAGGATGTCCACCTAACACTGATTATGAAAGTTTTCTGATATGATATAAATTATATGGTGAGAGCTTTTAGATCTTGCCATATTACAATTCAGTGTAATAAACTTTTTAACGAGAACCCTGTACCTTTATTTCTTGGAAGAATCCCAGATTTTTAACATGCAATTGTCATGCATAAATCTAATGTTTTTATCAATTACTGATTAACAAAACTATTGCATCCATGTGATTTAGTGTTTCATTTTATTTTTTGAATATGCAGGTGTAATTGAGGTTTTGGCGAACAGTGGGCGGCAAATTGATGCTGTTAACTTGGCTTATGCATTTGATCTTACTGAACAATTTTCTCCCGTTTCTTTACTGAAGTCTTACTTGAAAGATGCAAGAAAACCTTCTTCTCCTGTTAAAAGTGTCAACTCATCTCCCACTGCACAGGTGTGACTTGAGTTTATGCTATATTTAGTTTATTCCATCCATTGTCTTCTTTTCACTGTTTGAGCTAGTGATTTAAATATTGCCTAGCGTTTGTGTTTTCCCCCTAATATTGTTTTTGCTTAGGGTCATAATTGGATGCTACTTGTGGTATATGCTACAACAAGACAGCATAGCTATGCTTCTTATCATATTAAGGGCTAGAAAAGTTTCTGGTAGGACACTGGCTTAAGCTGGATAGAGGAGTCAGAGAAGAGCTGCTGATACTGCAGTTAGTTAGATTATGTGAGTGATTATTTGGAGAGGGGGACGGAGTGTGATCACCGGCAGGTGTCTTTTCTTTTTTAATCCAAGTAAAGAATGTTATTGCATCACTATATAAATAAGTTGTAAATCTAGCTAGGTTTGCTCTACAACTAGTATCAATCATATGCAAGCCTTCTTAGAAATATTATTAGAGAGAAAAGGAATACAGAAGTGTGGGCCAAACCATACCCACTAAGAAAAACTAAAGTGTGGAAAACCCCATCAATCCTAAGAAAAGTCAGATACAATATAAGTAGGTACACTATCCCACCAAGAAAAAAAAACAGAAGTTCTCAAACCATAAGCTGCAAAATCGTCAGCACATCTATTTCCCTTCCTGAGAATATGATGAAATCTGAAATTTATACTCTTGATGGACTCTAAAACATGAAGCCATTTACTTAGCTTCCAAGGAACTAAACGGCTATCATAAATAGATTTCACAACATGTAAAGTATCCGTCACAATCCAAAGAGCTCTCCATCCATTTTGTATGGTAATCTCAATAGCATGCATAACTCCCATAAGCTCTGCTTCAAATGCTGACAGTACATGTAGAGATGTTTACATGATCAGAGTATTTTCTAACTGTATTGCATTTGATCCATCCTGTTTCAGTTCACTTGATTAATTTTATCTAATTTCCCTGGCCTGCAAACAACCGGAAATGTCTTAATAATTTTGAATTCATCACTAGTAGAATGCATGTTGCCTGTTTTGATATGCTGGTATTGAGTTTTTTGTTCCTCAAACTTCTATTCCTACTATGCCAACTTGGGTTGGGCCAAGGGAGTCATCTCTTCTGTGAAGAACATTAGCTCTGGGATTACTCGGCTCATCCTTTATAGTAGTTCTTGCTTTCCAATAATTATGTTGTGTTTCTATTGAATTTGGTTCCTCAATTTTCTTAGCAGTTAGAAACACTACTCATCAAAATGTTTTCATGCCTGTATATAAAACTGATGAGTTGGAAGGCTTTCATACTCTATTCATGTTTGTTTGAGGAAAAAAAATGGAGACAATGAAGACTCTAATATGAAAAGTATAAATAGTGATTAAATCCATATAGAAGCTAGCAACAGATTTATTTAGGTTAAAAAGCATTTTGGTGCCAAAGGCTCATGAAAGTCTAAATGCAATTAAAAAATAACCTGATTTTAGAGCATGCTGTCTTTAATGTTTAGGACCTAAACGCTATGCTTTTCGTGAAAGCTCTTGAAGTTTTTAATTCTTAGTGTACAGTGTACACAGCTTTTGGTTTGCTGTTTGACTTATGGTTTGGTCAATGATTTAGTTTATTGTATTTTTTATCATTACTGATTCTTCCTTTAAATCTAAAATCACATCTCTGTCTAAATTGAACTTCAATGTTTTTTTTTAGATTGTGAATTATTAAAATTAACTTTATATTACAGTTTAAATTATGCATTGTAAATCCCAAATAATTTTTAAATTCAATTATATTTTTTTATTATGAATTTTAATTTAATATAATTTATATATATTATGAATTGTAATTTCATGAGTTTTTATTTTGTACAACGCATTAATAAAATGCTAGTTTCTGCTCATTAGCCAACGTAGCTCAACTATGCAACAAACTGTACAATCTGTTTGAATATTTGGTAAGAGACTCTTTACCATTAGGGGCAGTGCATCAAAGTTGTGGTGGTGGCTTGGTAGTCCCCAAAGAAATATGAAAGATTTGCGTTAGTTATTTGAATAGTGTAATTTCTGTTGGGAATAATTTAAGTGGATAGGCAATTTGTGATGTGCTTGCATTGGCAGAAGAAGATAAACGATAGTGTACGGCATGGATGGCAGCATTCTCTTTCTTTAACTCCATCATAGCATATCATGAATCTCCCAATCATGCCCATGCTAGTGGTTTATGTAACCTCTTGGCTGAAATATGGGATGGCCAGGACCGATAGGTGGGGATCATGCCTGATGGGATCAGATGTTAGGTGTTTGTTTACCGGTGTCAGATTCTGTCATGCTGAATCAGAAGAATGGGCATATCATCCTATTCCGCATGTATAGAGATTGCTCCTGTTGAAATTTATGAAGCGTGGCATTTGGGGTTATGGAATAATAAGCAGAAAATAATGCTTGATTCCGAATATTAAGGGATTCAAAATGCAAGTAAATAAAGAAAATATTGATGGAGGACATTCACTATCTTCTTTGGGTACTGTTGAATATAGGGAAAAACTGTATAGGGTTAATTTCCCTTATGTATTTACCACACATAGGGTAGTGTATTTATAATAAAGAAAGGTACTCCTCAAAAGAGTAACAGAATAAAAATAGGGTAAATAAAAAGATATTATTTGATATTGTGATTAACAATATCTAACAATATCTCAACAATATCAAACAATATCAACTAATATCTAATCATATCTAACACTCCCCCTCAAGCTGGAGCATACAAATCGTATGTGCCTAGCTTGGTACAAAGATAATCCATCCTAGGTCCCCGTAAAGACTTAGTGAAAATATCTCGCTAATTGATCACATGAGTTAACAAACTCGGTCTTGATGTCTCCGGACATAATCTTTTCCCGAATAAAATGGCAAGTCAATCTCAATGTGTTTAGTCCTCTCATGAAAGACGGGATTAGAGCTTATATGGAGAGCGACTGATTGTCACACACTAGTGTCATTTGAGTGACATCTCCAAATTGTAGCTCTTTAAGCAATTGCTTGAGCCAAATAAGTTCACAAGTAGCCGAGGCCATAGCTCTATACTCGCTCTGCACCTGGATCTTGCCACAACACTTTGTTTCTTACTTTTCCATGAGATCAAGTTACCACCAATGGAAACACAATACCCGAGATGTAGATCTTCTATCGGAGGGAGATCCCGCCCAATCGAGCATCCGAATAGCGAGACAATTCTTGTATGATTATGGGAGTCATACACCAAACCTTTTCCAGGAGACTTTTTGATGTACTTCAATATACGGATGATCGCATTCCAATGATCTTGACAAGGAGAATTGAGGAATTGACTCACCACACCGATCGCAAAGGAAATGTCGAGGCGAGTAATCGTAAGATAATTTAATTTTCCAACTAATCTTCTATACTCGTTCGGGATCCGACATTGGCTCCCCCGATTTGGCAAGAGTTTGGTATTAGGATCCATGGGTGTGTCAACAGGCTTTGAATTCATCAACCCAGTTTCCTCCAAAATATCCAATGCATACTTTCTTTGAGATATAACAATGCCATCGGTAGATTGTGCTACCTCAATACCCAAGAAATATCCGAGTTTGCCAAGATCTTTGGTTTGAAAATGGTGGCAAAGGTGTTGTTTCATCCGAGAGATGCCATGATGGTCACTACCTGTAAGAACAATGTCATCGACATACACTATCAAATAGATACATCCAAGCATTCGAGTGACTGGTAAAAGACCGAGTGGTCTCGCCTCACTTCTAGTCATGCCAAATTGTTGAACAACGCTGCTAAATTTTCCAAACCAGGCCCTAGGAGACTGTTTTAGGCCATATAAAGATTTGCGAAGACGACATACCAATCCGGAAGACTCCCCCGAGCAACAAATCCGGAGGTTGCTCCATATAAATCTCTTCTTGCAAATCGCCATTCAAGAAAGCATTTTTGACATCCAGTTGATAAAGAGGCCATTGTTGAATAGCAGACCATGGCAATGAATAAACGAACAAAAGCCATCTTTGCCACTCGGAGAGAAAGTATCACCATAATCCAACCCAAAAATTTGGGTATAGCCTTTGGCTACAAGGCGAGCTTTGAGGCGATCAATAGTACCATCGGGACCAACCTTGATAGCGAAGACCCACCGCAACCAACAACAGATTTTCCGGATGGTAATGGGACAAGCGTCCAGGTTCCACTAGTCTCGAAGAGCACCGAGTTCATCTAGCATGGCCTGACGCCAACCAGGGTGGGCTAAGGCTTCGAGAGCAGATTTAGGAATAGACACGGAAGAAATAGACGAGAGACAGGTATAAAATGGTGAAGAAATTCGATGATAACTTAAAGCAAGTATAATGTGGAGAAGGATTACGAGTAGAACGCGTACCTTTACGAAGGGCAATAGGAAGGTCGGACTACGTGGACGGAACCGGAGGAGGCAGAGTATTTGGCACCGGGAGTGAGTCATGTGGCGTCTGTTGTGGGCGAGGTCTCGCGACTATAAACCCGAAGGGGTGGTGGAGGAGGAGGGGCTAATGGTGGATGGTCCTCAACATAAGGATCAATGAGAACAGGAATGAGAACCGTAGCGAGATGGAGACTCAGCAGGTAGGGAAGGGTCCTTAAAGTAAAAGGAAAACTCATTGAAGGTGACATCGGCAGACACAAAATAGCGATTAAGAGAAGGAGAAAAACACTTGTATCCTTTTTGGGATCGAGTAAATCCTAAGAAAACACATTTGTGTGATCGAGGAGATAACTTATCATGACCAAGATCAAAATTGTGGACAAAACAGGTAGACCCAAAAACCTTCGGAGGTAAAGGATGGAGAGTGTCATGAGGAAATAAAATAGAATGGGGAATTTTGTTATCTAAAACCGAAGAGGGCATATGATTAATAAGATAACAGAGCAGTAAGAACAACGATCACCCCAAAAATGTTGAGGAACCTCACCATGAATTAAAAGAGTACGGGTTGTTTCAATAAGGTGTCTATTCTTGCGCTCGACCACCCCATTTTGTTGAGGGGTATAAGCACAGGAAGTTTGATGAAGAATGCCATGAGAAGCCATAAATTGTTTAAACGAGTTTGAAAGATATTCACGGCCATTATCACTTCGAAAAGTTTGAATAGAGACACCAAATTGATTTTTAATTTCATGATAAAAGTTTTGAAATATAGAAAACAACTCGAACGATTTTTCATTAAAAATAACCAAGTACAACGAGAGAAATCATCAATAAAAGTAACAAAATATTGAAAACCTAAATTAGACTTAACATGATCGGGTCCCCAAATGTCGAGTGAACTAAGGCAAAGGGGGATGAAGCACGCTGGGAAACACTACGAGAAAAGGAAGTACGATTATGTTTGCCTAACCGACAAGACTCACACACCAAATTGGACAACCGGGATAAGTCGGGAACAAGTTGCTGTAATTTGCGCAGACTAGGGTGACCAAGCCGAGCATGAAGGAGAGAAGGAGACTCCATAACCGTGCCAACATGTGGAGAAGGTTGAAGATAATAAAGTCCATGTGACTCACATCCGGTGCCAATCACTCTTTGCGAGCTCCGGTCCCGTAGGGAAACGAAGTTTTGGTAAAAGAGATAACACAATCAAGAGATCGAGTTAGACGGCTAATGGATAATAAGTTAAAGGGGGACCCGGTACGTACAAAACATTATCAATGGACAACGAGGGAAAAAGAGTAACCGTTCCAACACCATGAGCTAAAGTTGTAGACCCATTAGCCATTGTAACGGAGGGTAAATTATGAGAAGAAGTGAAAGAGGAAAATAAGGATTTGTTACCGAGTGATGTGATCGGTGGCGCTCGAGTCAAGAACCCAAGGGCCAATAGAAGAAGAGTGAGTCGGACCAGACAAAAGATGTACTCGTGTGGGCAACGAAGTAGTGGAACTGGAGGGCTTTCGATCCTCATACCATTGAAGAAAATAATTGAAGATAGCGGATTTGTCCGAAGGTACGGACGAAGGAGGATCCACAGCAGAGGATTGTGCGGAAGAATCAGTCTGAGCAACTGTAGCAGATCGGCGAGGATAACCACCGTGTAAAGCATAACATTTGTCAATTTTGTGGCCTAGTTTGCCACAATGGTCACACTTGACACGCCCTTTGCCTGGCTTGTGAGAGCGATTACGATCATCACGGTGAGAGGCCAAGGCAGATGAATCATTAGAAACTACAGGGGGAATATTGAGAGGTTTACATGGCACCCGCAAAAGAGAGGAACTGGTAGTGGTAAAACTGGGTGTAACAGGGGAACCCAAAATCTGGTCACGAACAGGGGCATATTTATCAGCAAGTCCGTGTAACATCAAAACCATGAAAAACTTTGATCGTTGCTCTAATTCTTGGGCAGGAGTCGAGGCAGGGGGTAATAACTCATTAAATTCATGGAGAAGAGCATGAATCTTACCCACATAATCCGCCACAGGATCCTTATCTCGAGGAGCAATAACATCAAGAAGATTGTAACAAACACCATAAAGACGTTGAGTGTCATTGGTGTATAATAATTTGGCTTGTTCCCAAACGTCATAACATGTGCCATACGATCGAAAAATTTGTTTTGGATGGTATTCTTGAGAACCATACATATATGAGCATCAACTTTCTTCCAACGGACACGATCATTGGAAGGAACATCATCTACCTTGGTAGTAAGATGATCAACATACCCCTGACTCTCAAGCCAAAGTCTAATATCAGATGCCCAAGTTGCATAATTCGTACCATCTAATTTATCAATGGGTAAATTCACATTGACATAATTAGTAAAAACAGATTGCTCAGACCCACCGGAGCTGACAGAGGTAACTTCAGAATTGGAAGTGGCAGCGGAAGATGCCATGGAGGAAGAGAGAGAAAAACCCTAAAACACCAAAGAGGTCCGATTGGAGCAGCGAGGACAGATCCGGAGAGAGGAGAAGGAGGCGACGCCGGCGCAAAGATCGGCGGCCCGAACGGCGGCGAGACGCAATGCCACGCGCGGCGGAACGGGAGAAGGTGGCGCGGCTTCGGGAGGCGCGTGAGGGAGCGTGGCTGCTCCGATGACCGCGAAACTTCCACGGTGGAGGTCGCACGGAGGAGGCGAGCAAAACCCTGTGCTCGGCGGTCCGAACTGCTACTCTGGCGGCGGACGGCGGTGGCGACGGCGGCGGTGATGGAGGCGGCGACAACTGCAGGTTCAGTGGCAGAGCCGAAAAAAATTCCCAAGAGACCTTAAGCTCTTGATACCATGTTGAATATAGGGAAAAACTGTATAGGGTTAATTTCCCTTATGTATTTACCACACATAGGGCAGTGTATTTATAATAAAGAAAGGTACTCCTCAAAAGAGTAACAGAATAAAAATAGGGTAAATAAAAAGATATTGTTTGATATTGTGATTAATAATATCTAACAATATGTCAACAATATCAAACAATATCAACTAATATCTAATCATATCTAACATGTACCTATATCTGTCTAAGTACATCTATACGTGGCACAGAATATCTTGTGTCTGTCAGGTCCTCATATTGCATACTTCGCATGAAATGCATCTTTTTTAGGTTCTTAAGTGGATTTTGCGGTAATATACTGTTTTTATTTTCTTTCTTTTTAATGTTCCTACTGACTTTTGTCTCAGATTGAAGTGAATGAACGAGAGCTGGTTGCTCTTAAGGCTGTAATAAAATGCATTGAAGAACATAAACTTGAAGAGCAGTATCCTCTGGATCCTCTCCAAAAACGATTGGTGCAGTTAGAGAAGGCAAAAGCTGACAAGAAGAGAGAAACTGAAGCAACAAAACCTCAACCCAAGAGACCCCGTGCAAATGGTGCGGGATATGTTCCACGTGTCACTAACATCCCCTGTGATAAAACTTCCTATGCTAGAGTTGCTGACAGGTATCCACAGTATGTGTATGACCGACCACCTTACATGTACCCTGCGCCAACTGATAATCATTGTCCCCCTCTCATGAGCAATGCAACGTATAACATCTCTCCCAGCCTTGGCAACTACTTTGGAAATGGGTATCAGTACCAAACCACTTATCTCCACTAGTTAATTATGATCCTTTTGTTTAATATCTAGTCTTAACCTTTAAGCTGTTGTATGTTGCACTTCCTCAAATGTAGAGGTAAAATGTCATGCTATAATGTAACTTCTGTAGCAGAAGATATTCTGATCCTCTAATGTATGAACTCTGTTCTCGTTTTAGACACTCTTTGATTCCTTTGTAGTATATCTTTCTTGTCTTAGATCTGTGGTTGTTTATTCATTGTTTTACATTTATTAAGTTAAATGTTCGTTACGCATTTTCTAACACTCTTTCATACACTTTCTCTATTATAGATTAAAATTGATTGAAAACCACCAATTTGGGCGGTTTTTCATTTAAGGATATTTTTATTCTAATTTTGGTAGATTCTCATTGGTTTCTCATTGAGAGAAAGATATACTAGCAGTATAGTTTGTGCTGTCGAGGAAATGTGTCTCAAATTTATTTCCGTCTTGTGGATTTCACCAGGGGGTGATAATCGATGGGTATTACAATGTCCGTTCGTAAACTCAAAAAAGAACGGAAAACATAACCGATTCAGTGTGGATACTCAATGGATACTTGTATCTAATTTTATTTATTTCGGTGCATATAATATTGGTAACGAGGTCTGAATCTTGAGGGCTAATTAGTTGACACAATTTGGTTTAGATAATTCAAAAATATATAGAGAAAGTTTTGATAGAGGACATAGGTCGTGAGATGAAGAGAAAGTAAGATAGTTGTGCAGATTGTGAGGATGATGATTATTATTATTATTATTAATATTACTACTATTTAATTAAAAACTAACTATCAACTTTAATTACTTTAAATACTTATATATTTCTACTCATTTTCATATCCTTTTACTGAACTAAATAATCTTAATTTTTAGTTATTTTTTCTACAAAACATTTTAATTCCATCCTCCACTTTTCGTTCCCCCAATCAAACAAAACATTAAAATATTTAATGTGCTTCTTTTTCCCCATCTTCAATAGTCTATTTCCTTTGCTTCCTCTTCATTTCTTAGTTTACTTTTCTCTTTCTTCTAATTCTTCTTTAATCACTTTCAAGATTTGAGTTGTTTCTTCGTACGTTCTTGATGTTCAACTTTCTTTTTCTCAATCTTTATGTGTCCTTTTTCTTCATTTTTCTTAATTTCTCCCCATTTTCTGCTTCCTTCCTCTTTGTCTATGTTTTCTTTTCTTTTTTCTTTCAGATGTCATCACAAAAAAGATGGAGGTTGTAGCAAACTTTAAATCTTAGGAAGCTACTAACATGAACACACAATTAAAACAACAAGAACATCTCATAAGGTGTTCTTAGATTAAGCATCACAAGAGGATTTAATTTTAAGATGATGTTCACGTAAGAGGATATATATAAAAATGTGCATGTTTCTTGTTAATCAATTTAGATTTATCAGATGAACTTTTTTTATAATTACATCTTTATTCTGGTAAGATGTTCACATTGATTGTTGTACTTAACGGAAGTTATATAATAACCCTTTCTACAATTAATATCTGATAAAATTATGCTTAATTTTAATATTGGATCTATAACATTTGAGAACAACACCTTCTCAATATATATAACTTTATCGACTAAAAAAGTAATTCTGTTTGCTTCTTCCTTGCCTAGGAGACAAGGAATGAACCAATGGTGCTCATTTTATTTTTCTTCCATATATATAGTATAATTAACATCACAAAATATAACTAATTTAAAATCTCGAGATTTCTTATAAAATCAACTAAGATTAAAATTACTTGCTCAATATTTAAAAATTCATTTCACAACTTTAATGTCAGACTTTCTAATATATGACTGAAAGCATTTACAAAGACATACATTTAAGTACAATACAAAGTTTGAAGCACTTGGTGGATTTGATGAAGACATAGATATAACTTAGGTTGTGGGTGTGTAGATGATTAGGGTTTTAAGTTTAAGCACTTAATCTCTTGATAGGCCTGTGATAAGCACCTTAAAATGTTGCATCTCATTGAAAATCATTTTTCCGCATGAAAAACTTACGTTTAAGTATTAAAAGAATAAACTAAGTTTTTTCAATCTGTTGAAAAGGATTTTCAATCTGTTAAAATCACTTAACATAATAAATGGTCATACATAATCGAAAATTCAATTGATTGATTCGCGGAATCAACAAGTTAAAATAACTCAATGAATTTTCAATATCAAGTTTTGCATTTTCAATCTGTTGAAATGATTTTTAAATCTGTTGAAACGAAAAGATTTTTTCGAGTCTAAGAGTTTTTAAAAAATCAATCTGTTGAAATATTTTTCAATCTGTTAAAACAGAAAGACTATTTTTTCAGTCTAAGAGTTTTTCAGAAAATCAATCTGTTGAAATAATTTTTAATCTGTTAAAACAGAGAGACTATTTTTTTTTTTTTAACTAAGTGTTTGCAGGAATTTAATCTGTTGAAATGATTTTCAATCGATTGAAACAGAAAGCTGTCATTTTTCATTAAGTTGTTTCAATCCATTAAAAACTCGAATCAATCGATTGAAATGGAGCTTTAAATGAAATCAATCGATTGAATCGACGTTTTAATCGATTGAAATGTATTCTGATCGATCATAGTTTTATTCTGATCGATCATAACTCGATCTGATCGATCATAGTTTCATTCTGATCGATCATAACTCGGTCTGATCGATCATACTTCAGTTCTAATCGATCAGAGTCTCTTCTAAAATTGTTTTACTTCAATCTAATCAATCTTTTGACTCTCTGAAACAGTTTTTGACAGATGAAAAGTTATGATTCTATGTTTTACTCTATATATACAGAATTGATATATCTTTTGAGATACACAATACAACACACTACTTGAGAAAACTTGTGAAATCAATCTGTGAAACTTTCATACGTGACTTTCTCTGCATTCAAGAATCTTTTCATATCATAAGGTGCTGTGATCAAAATTGTGGTCAATCAAAGAGAGAAAGTGCTGTTAGAATTGGTTCTGGACAACTAGAAACTTCAAGTCCAGGTTTTTTCTTTTCATATTCTTTTGTAAAAGTTTGATTGTGCAGGTTGGATTGTAATCTGCACTTGGTACAGTAACTGGATTTGGTTACTGGGTGGTTTTCAAGATTCTGTCTTGTGGGTTTTGCAAGATAGTTCTTGGGGTAGATTGGTGAGTATCTACTAGTTGTAATTTTCACTTGGTATTAGTGGAACTTGACTGGTTTGTCAAGAACTGGATGTAGCTCTGGATTAGAGTGAACCAGTATAAATTTGTGTGTTAATATTCTTCTTTCATCTCTTTTATTTTCTGTCTTTAATTGTGCTGTGTTTAAACCGAGTTACCTTTGCAAAGATTGAATAAAGATAACTCATTCTTCCAAAAGAAAGTAAGTTTTGTGAAAAAGTTTTAAAGTTCAATTCACCCCCCCCTCTTGAACTCAACCATTAATTCTTTCAATTGGTACCAGAGCTGGTTCTTGTAAGTTACTCAAGGAATCGGTCCAATGGCTGAGGGAAAGATGAATTTTTTAGAAGGAGCCTCCATAAACAGGCCTCCACTTTTTTCTGGTGTGAATTATTCTTTCTGGAAGGTTAGAATGAAAATCTTTATTGAATATCTTGATAGAGGCATTTGGGAAACAATTGTTAATGGTCCTTACAAACCAACTCATATTGTAGATGGTAAAGTAGTCGAAAAAGATTGGGCTGAATTAACTGATGTAGAAAATAGGAGAGTCCAATATGATTATACTTGCAAAAATATTATTACCTCTGCTTTAAATCTTGATGAGTTTTTCGGGGTGTCTCGAGTGTGCCTCGCCAAAGAGATGTGGGAAATTTTAGAGGTTACACATGAAGGAACATCTGATGTGAAAAGGGCAAGAAAGCATGAGTTAATCGAGGGACTATGAGTTGTTTAAAATGCAGCAAGGAGAAACAATTGCAGATGTGCGTAAAAGGTTCACACACATAGTCAATCATCTAATTGGGTTAGGAAAGACTTTTGACAAAGAAGAATTGAACATCAAAATCTTAAAGTGTTTGGACAGAACGTGGCAACCAAAGGTGACGACTATATCGAATCAAGAGACTTGATCTGAAATGACTACCGCTTCACTTTTTGGTAAGTTGAGGGAACATGAGTTGGAAATCAATCGGTTCAAAGAACAAGAGAATGCGAAAAGAAAAGTAGAAATATTGTTCTCAAGACAATTGAAGAAAACAGTGGATCTCGAAGAAGATGAATCGAGAGAACTGACTTTGTTGGTTAAGAAATTTGGGAAATTTCTTAGAAGAAAGAAACAGAACTGGCCAAGTAAAAAGGTACAATGATAAAAAGACTCGAATCTGTTCAAAATTCTATTACTTGTTATTCTTGTGGTAAACAGGGTCACATAAAGAGTGATTGTCCGGAAAAGACCAAGAATCAGAACAAGAAAGAATCAAGATACAAAGGGAAAAAGGCCTATATAGCCTGGCAAGACAATGATTCATCTTCCAGCTCTGAATCCGAAAGTGAAGAGGTGAACCTGTGTTTGATGGTCAGTTGTGAATCCTCTTCATCACATGTAAGTTCAACTCCTACAGAGAATGAAATGAATTACAGCACATTACTAAATGCTTTCAATGAAATGCATAGTGAAGCCAGAAATTTATCTCATACAAATAATCAGTTGAAAAGTTTAAATAAGCTGGTTAGAAAATAGAGTTAAAGTTCGGAAAATGAACTATTAGAAAGCAAAGCAGATTTAGAACATCTAGATATTATCTATTCATCTGCGGATAATGTTGCTTGTTAATAAGAATTGTGAAAAGTGTATTGTTTTACAAAATAAGGTTGATTACTTGACTAAAACCTTGACAAAATTTACTCAAGGTAAAGAGAATTTAGATGCACTTCTTGGGTCTCAAAATTGTGTGTTTGAACATTACGGAATCGGGTACAAACCTAAGAATGGGGTAAAAACTAAAAAATATTTGAACTTCTTTTCATACAGAAAAACAACGGCATCCCCT